TGTATATACTCGGCATTGATCTAAAAAAGAACGGCAACGCTATATATATACTTACCTCAGTGATCAGAATTGAATCTTTTGCTAACTATAAAATTTATAATGGGGATACTGAATTGAAAGCGCGGTAATGTCCGATATATAAAGGAAATATACTGTTTATGTAAAGCGTTCTTATAGTTTTTATAGAGTTACCTGCATATATTAAGACATCAGATAATTTGTTTATGGAAAAATAAATGCTCTAGACAAAGTGTATAAAAGGCCTCAATCGTAGGTTCAATAGCGTTCCAGTTCTTTTTAGTTCAGTTTCGTACTTTTCATTGTATATCATTGTTTGGAACTATTTGGGACCTTCAAGAAATCCCAGAGAACGTATAACAGAACCTTGGTAATAATGTATAGAGTACATGAATCATGATATGACGCACCTCGTGGAAATCGGCGTACCGTTGACGAGGTTAGCGTCTTTAAATAAAGTTTTACACAACATACATTACATATACATGAAAATGTAAAATATCGGTTAATTTTATTTGTTTGTAATAAGCATGCATGGTAGAATACAAGATATATATGTTATAATTAGATAATTTATAAACTCAATATTAATTTTATGAAAAAAAAAGTTTCACCAAGTGAAATATTGTCTCGACATAATCTGTGGTTGGCGCACTATACCCCAGCCATCAGACTTGTTCCCAGTCGCTTTTCAATATAAATACTTGCCTATCTTATAATATTATTTTAGAAGTCCTCTTTAATTAGACTACTCTCTAAATAGCATCTTTTTTTGTATTCCGCAATATTCAGGCAATTGTCAGGCGGCTGAAGGCAAGAGCGGCCGCGTGGGCTGAGGCCAGTAGTGGGCGCGTTATATAAAATGAAATTCAAATTGAACGACTAGGGAAGAATCTGCCCCAGCCACAGAGGTTGCACGATGGCGTCACAAAATTCTAAAGCTGCAAGCTGGCTAGCCTGCTCATGTTTTGATCAACATACACAATCGGCCTGGAAATTAAAATATAGGGTAAGAGATTAATTTAAAAATTAAAATTAAAGATTAAAAGTACTACAGGGGTGTATAAAAAAAAGGTAATCCAACTTTGGCATATGTTATTGTGCATTATATATTACGTTTATCCATTTTTCATGCCAATAACGATCCGGCTTTTAACTTGTCGACTGTCGAGTGCTACCTTTCTTGTATCATTGCAATAAAAAATAGAATACGAATTACGATCCGATTTAAAATACCTCGGTCGAAATCGCATGTATTTACTAGGGACCTTAAGCATGTACGACGGCAACGCGACGAAGACAACCAAAACAAACTTCAAATAAATTATTGCGAAGAAGGGTTGTTATGTATTATCCACTGCATATGAATTGAATTCAGTTTGAAGAGATGAAAACAAAGGCTTTATTGTTAAAAACGCTTCTGCTGAGCGATTTGTAGTTTTACTTGTCGCGTCTTGACATGTTTGCGTTGTACACGAGACGTGAAAATCTCTGGTTTGCCGTTGTAAAAAGCACTAACACAACGTCTCTAACTCCATTGGGGCTTTTAATTATTCATTTCTTTTGTACGAGATCAGGAATATCATTGTGTGAATAGCCGTCGTCGTCCTGTTTGCTCAAGGTCCCTATGTTGAATCCACGGGTGCGTAAACACAATTGAATCGAATTTTATGCATGGGGAGTTATTTGAAAGTTTTTGGTTTCGTTCAACATATAATTATGTGCTGATTAATAACGCAGTGCGTTAAACAATAAAAACTCGTTGCTCTGTGGCCATTTTTACTCGAGCTGATATAGTATGACTAATTTGTAATTTGACCATTTTTGTGTATAAAGTTATATTCTCCTTTATGCTATATATTTAGAAGCTGGAGCAGAAAATCTTGTGCTTACTGACAAAAATAATATAAGCATTCGTGGTTTCAGTATAGTGCCCGAGTATTCACTGAAATTATAACAATAGGATAATTTATAATATACTTGTATATCTACTATGGAGGTTCGGAAGAATGCCATATAGTGTCGCATTGCGTCGAAGTTTGTGGGGGACAAACAGTGAATGAGTGTGTTAAAATAAGAAAAAAAAATTCAATTAATATAACGTATCATACGACTTGGTTATTATACAGTGCGACGAATGCAAGGACGTAGCGATGACTTTGTCGTTGTGGGGATGTAAGGGTCCAAATTATCTTGCTCGTTACCCAAATATACAGTGTTTGAAATTTGTTTTTCATGAGTCAAGTATAGCAGGTGTTTCTTTAAAAATAATATGTTAATTAGCACAATGGGATACGGGGCGAAATGTATACTACTGTTCGGAGGAATGTCCCCAAGGATATTTTGAATATTTAGACAAAGCGCCGAAATGCACCGCTAAACTTTGGCATTCTCAGCTTGCTTTCACTTTTAACTTCCATACACGTCTGAGTTACAAAATTGGTAAAAACCCAGTTGCTATGGCCATCAATGTGCAATTAGAGATTTGCAATGATACTTAATTAAAAACTGATGGAATTGAACACCGTGTGTTATAGAAAATTGTTTTTATATAAAAGATCAGTTTCTACGTCACGGAGTCAAAGATAATCATATTTTTGAAATCTTTTTTGTCAAGAAAAGGAAACAGATGTTACTAAGTCTGAAGATTCAGAACTCAAAAGAAGGTATATGCATAACCGACTTGGTTATTATTGCGAGGTTTTGCTCGTATAGTTTCACTATAATTTCTACAGTTGAGCATGCATGATCTCGTCCCAAAATTAAGGCTATGTGCCTATGTCTTAACTGTCAAAAAGCGCTCAAATTAAGACAATCGCACATTGCCTTAATTTGAACCCTATATCCCTAACCTTAATCTAAATCTGACGACTTTTTCTTTATAATATTCCCACCACGGCGCCTTTTAGTGATTGCAATACATAATTAATTAAAAACTGGTGGAATTAAACAGCGCGTGCTCGAGAAAATTGTTTTATATAAAAGATGTCACGGAGTCAAAGATAATCATATCTTTTATACTTTTTTTCGGTAAGGAAAGGAAAACAAATATTACAAAGAGCAGTTGAAGATTCAGAACTCTAACTCTAGACAAAGAAGGTATGCATTACTTTTGCGAAATATAACGAATGATTTAATTAATGACAGCGGCATTATGCTGAAAAGATATTTTGTCGAATACTTTCCCAGGACTTTTAGTTTCAAAAGAAATATTTTGTTGCTTAATGTTATTAATGTTTTGGAATTTTGAGTTTTTGATGTTTCGCGATAAAGAGAATAATTATATGAGGGGGGTAATAGGGTATTTTCGTGCTGCGTATTGGGGTAATTTAATTATTCGTTCTTCGTTCAGTCGTCTTTTTATTAAACGTTTTTCGATCCCGACATGGATGCCGTGTATCGTGCTTGCGGTGTATTCAATATCCGTTCTCCGTTTTCAGCTGTATTTAAAGACGGTTATTTCTCGTTTCTGGATAATATATTCCATTAATTTTGTTTCTGGATTTTAGCTATGTTTTGATTGGGGAACGGAGGTTTCAAAGTTTATATAAATCATGAACATCGACGCAATTGTAAACAAATAGGTGAACACACCGCCTAGTACAGACTGTTTATATTCACCTTTAAGACTTCTAAGTATGATTGTTGCTTACATTTCATGTTCACTTTACATTTCAGATTCGTAATAAATTTATGAAACGTGCTGCAGGACTTCCTTCTTTTATTTTTCATGCTTCAAGATCGCTGCATATTACTTTTCGTGCTTCAGGATCGGTAC